TAACATTAAAATTGACGAGGAAAAAACGATAATGAAAAAAAAAACAGGATCATAAAGGTTGATGGATCAAAATTTATCAAAATTCAAATTCAAAAGATTTTAAGGTGGTAAGTAATGTTCCATTTTGGAAGCAAGATGGGTGGTCACAAATTCCTTAAATTTGGAAAGGCTTACATCATTCATTTTACAGTGTATTGGTAGCGAGTTCCATAGTTTGATAGATCTAGGTAGAAATGAGGTAATAGGTAATAGTCCTGTTTGAAGAGATTAAGTTCTTGGAAATTGTTTCCGTAGTAGTTTCTTGAGGCGGCAAACTGATTAGGTTTAGGTACAGGCTGTACATATTGCTTAAGACGAGTTTATTTTATCGTGTTTTAGTTTATGCAGAAGAATAAGGTCAGCTGTCTGTCGTCTATATTCAAGTCATATGCGTCTTTTCAAACATTACTGGCAACAAATACATGATTGCAATCGCAAGGGAATGAAAGACTACTTTTTACCTTTTGTACTGTACTAAGGTTACAGTTTCAATGTGGTTGGCATTTGATGATTTTCTTGTATTCCTTTCTGAACGTCGGATTCATTGCTCCATATATCACGGGATTGACAGCACTACAACTCGCCATCAAGTACGTCACGATCATGTGCACCTGTCGTGGAAGGCTTTTGTCGTGGCTGGTTGTTAACATCACAATAAGAATTGGAATCCAATTCAGCACAAACCCCATTAGAACCGTAAACATGGTCAACGTGACCTTGATTTCTTGGACACTCGTTCCCAGGCTGTTTGGGTTGGAGGCAGAAGCGATGTTTCTCTTGTGTTCTCGGATTTTCTTAAAGACTTTGAAGTAGCAGTAGGTGATGATTGTGAATGGTAGTAAAATAAAAAAAGCTACCAATATGTTTCCTGCAATCTTTGTCGTTGAGGTTTTTGTAACACGCGAAAGTTTACACATTATTTCCCTAGGAAAAAATTTAATGAAGACAACTTCCCCTGTTCCTATGGCAACCAGCCCTACGACTAAATAAACAAACCAACCACCAAAGATCATAATCAAGCATGTCTTTTTGTTGAACCATCTCTTGTATTTGTGCTGTTTACAGACGCAAACATATCGATTGACCGCCATTACAGCTATGGTGTAGCAGGAAACGTTTAGCAAAATCAACGTGGATGTTACCTGGATTTGACAAAAAGTGTGGCCCAATGCAAACCGACTGACGGCTGATGAAACCACAGAGACCGGCAAAACCAACATCGGGTATAATATGTCGGTCATCGCGAGGGAGAGTACGAAGTAGTTAGTGATGGTACGAAGACTGGGATTACGATAGATGGAGATTACTACCAGAAGATTTCCTCCAATGGCAATCAGTCCAATAAGGATTAAAATACTTGTCTCTACAGCGACGGTAGCTGGACTGCGGTTCCAGAAATCTAGCCATTTCTGAGAGACATGAGGCGTGGAGATAGTCGAATTCATCTAAACATATGAAACACTCAGTTCATTTTAAGAACCAATGGTCTTTTTTTTCTTTTTTTTTTTTTCTTTTTTTTTTTTCTGTGGTAATTTCAAGGCTCGCTAGGTTTGCCTACGTAATTCAAACTTCAAGCAGTCTTGAGGGCAAACATCCGCTATTTCACCTAACATCAAATATACGTTAAAAGTGTATTGTAATTTGTCAGTTCGGATTTCAACTTTACTGCAGTATTATCAATGATGAGTCAAGTACTATTTCAAATATCAATTTTGAATTATTAAGCAATGGACATAGAGCGACTTCATTGTTAGCAAATTCAGTACGAGCTCAATCGCATGCAATAAACAAATAAAAAACTAATTCGTGATAAATTGTACCACTTGAACAGTAGGAAACAAAGAACGAAAGAAAGAAAGTAGCAACTCGTGTTAAAAAAACGAAAAGCAAACAGAAACAATAAATTAAAAATTAAAGTATAAGATAGGAAGAAAGGAAGGAAAGGAAGGAAAGAAAGAAAGTAACAATTCGTGCTGGAAAAACGAAAAGCAAAGAGAAACAATAAATCAAAAAAAAAGTATGATAGGAAGAAAGGAAGGAAAGGAAGGAAAGAAAGGAAAGAAAGAAAGTAACAATTCGTGTTGTTCGTGTTGGAAAAACGAAAAGCAAAGAGAAAAAATAAATCAAAAATTAAAGTATAAGATAGGAAGAAAGGAAGGAAAGGAAGGAAAGAGAGAACGAACGAAAAAAGATAGGTAATCCAAGAAACTCACCTTTTCCATCGAGCATCAAGAGCTGGAAAAAACAGTTTTCAACCGCACTATTTCCTTGACTTTCGTTATCTCTTCGTGAAATTCAGTACTATCTCGCAATAACGCGAGAAACAAAGTTCTTTGCCTCGCCTTTTGAACGATTCATTATCTCGAGCAACGATACTCAACCTACGAAGCTTAGATTTGAGTGATTCAAATTTAACAGCCATCTGCTTGCACCACTCAATATTTATAAAAGCCTTGATAAATCTCCGGTCATTCACTTGATTTTATTATCATCAAAATCATCACT